GCTGGCACACATACCAACACTCCCCCCACTAATACCAAAACTAAACCCATCCCTAGCCTGTGCTGTCACAGTTTCAGCATTGAAAATTTCCTCACCATCATTTGTACTACCGACGCCCATTTCACCTGGAACTTCTTCGACGGCAGGTTGGAAACAAATACTCTGCTGAGCTTGATTACTATAATTCAGCTCTGACGTTTCATTCATGTCAAGGTGGCCATAAGTACTAGAAGAGGGAAAATGAATATCATCAACATCTCCATGATAATTTTCAACACTTTCCATAGAGTCACCATCAGCACTGTGACACAAAGTATCCATTGCAATGACAGAGGATGCACGCATTGAATCTCTGGTTGATGGGATTTCAGCAATCAGGTCACTTCCTTGCTTAAACAAAGCAGCAGCTCTATTGCTACCTTCGCCATAAGTTTCAAAATCCACTGAATGGCTTGGACCTGCATCAGAGGAGTCTCTTGGATATGGTGAGCAGAAAGTATCAAAAACATCTGAATCACGAGCACGTTTTGAAGGCCCGGCAGAATATTGTCTGCAATCATTGAATTTGTCACCATCACGATCAATGACAGTTTCTTCAATACTATCAGCCTGTTGTGGGCGTAACTGTGGCCTATCATATGAACTGGCACCTATTTCCAAGCTTCGCTTGCGAGGACTGGGACCCCGTGATTCATAAGAAGCTGCTCTATCACCAACCTCGCTACCTGATGGTTGTCCAATAATTAGATCCCGGCCCATGTCTGCGTCATTCATATTTATTGATGTGGTTCTACCCAACATTTGCAATGGCAGGCCCCCGGCCATTGTAAGATTCAAATCAACATTTGTTTTTTGCACCAACTTTCTCTCATCAGTTGTTCCTACTTCATCACGGTATTCAGTCGGTTCTTTCTCTGGATCATCAGCAGCACCCCAACCACTAATTCCACTGGCTGCACTTAGTCCACGTGTCAATCCCATTTTCTTGCTTGTATCAGGGATATCAATGTTGTTAGGAGCAACACGGGCAGGTCGAGGAACAGTTAAAAAATCCAATATCCTGACAGTAGCACCACATAAGCTACAGTCTAACAAGGGCAACCTGAGTGAAGAGCTAGACTCCACGACTAACAATTTCCTTTTTCCAGTGTCCTTGGCTTTAGGAGCAAGAGCATTTTTGCTTGGTCCAGGATCCTGTGAAAGAGGGACTTGTGCTCTGTTAGCACCAAAAGAACATCCATTTCTAGCCGATTGAGCAGAATGTTCTTCACAGTCTTGAATATTTAGAAGCCATCTCGGTTCCCATCCGCACAAGCTTATGAGCTTTTGAGACTGTTACATGGTAAAGCAAATAAGAACATAGAAACAGTGACAATTACCAGCAGATAAAAACACATTAAAATATCTTACATGAGAATACAGACAAAATGCACCATCTCGAGTAATATCAAGCTCTGGTACACTCTCTGATCCGGATTCGAACTCCGCCATACAATTCTGCAACAGGGACAGAAGGCAATCAACCTGTGGCCCCCGAGAAGTTCGCATATGCTCCATTGTGGATGCAGCAATTACGGGAAGAGACTGAAACTGCATAAGTCCATCGCATCTATCCTTGTATCCTGCAATTAGTGCAGACTGGGGTGTTGGAGGGAATTGGACCAGACTTTCTGGACAGCTGTTTCCTCTCCAAGGACAAGCAATTTTGTGGCCAACATCTAGCTGCTTGGAAAAGGCCTCACCAGCATCCTCAACTTCAAGCAAGAGAGAGAGAGAGAGAGAGAGATAAATCAATACTATTAGAGAGACCAAAACATATTGTACCTTTAGAAATGTACCGAAAGACCCCCCCCCCCCAACACATACACACACAAGCAGGAGAAACATCATCAATAGTATTAACTTCAAGTTCAGATAGCCAAACCACCCAAAACAGTTCAGTTACCTAAACCAAAACAACTGTTACAGCTACCGACATACCATTATAAGTAAAAGCTAATGCAACACCAAGAAGAAATCAAACATACACAAATGGTTCACTTCATCAATTCCCTCATTGAAGTAAGAAAAAAGAATGAGCAAAAGAAAGTATTTAGAATCAATCACTTAGAAACATATACCGAAAAGAAAACACAAAGGTTTCCTGTAGTTTATTTCTCTCAGCTAATACTATGCCAAATTATAGTCATATTCCTTAGACAGCCAAAGAACTAAAGTTTCCTTTAAGAAAAATTAATAGAAAATAATTGTCCGGTAAATGAGCTCTTTCATTTATCTTTCCATTACAATGTTGCTCGTCTATCTTCTTATATATAATTAAGCACATCCCAAAGCATCATTTCCTAGAAAAGCCTGAGATTTTGTGATGATCTTACTACAATGATTACATATCCCCGGGAAGCTTCAAGCAAAGAAAAGTAAATATTCAAATTACAGTAGCTAACCTTCAGAAGCAGCCCAGGATGGAGATGATGCAAAATGCAAGCATGCCCCACAAGTTTCACATTCAATTTTATCAACATCTATATTTATCCAACCTCTCTGAGCACAAGCCAATGATCTGGCAACCTACAATAAATTTGAAAATGAGCAGTTTGTCTTAAGATCAGATTAAGCATATTCAATAACTAAAAGAAACTAAACCATTTACACGCTGGACTCAATGAATATGCAAACATTTTAACACCAATGAGAAACTTAGAAGATTATTTGACAAAGTCTATCCATGCTTTCCTTTTTGATAGGGAGACTACCCAACTGTGATCAATATCAAAGATCAATACATATAGAGGGGAGGGGGCCATGTCAGACAACATGCAAACTCCAAAGGCTAAATTTCTACCAAGGAGATTCAGCAGTTGGATCAATTGCGTACCTTAGGTTTCCCCAACCAATTCATAGGCTTAAATGTAGCCAAACGCCTGAGAAGATCCCCTCTTTCCCATGGTCGACATGAAATTCTTGATGATCCAAGGGCAGAGCCACCAGCACTAGTACTCAGCGAAACCCAAGGAGCTTGCGATCCAACACAAGACTGAGAAGCTGCTTTGGAATTTTGACCAGGACCAGACCAATCTACACTACCAAGATTTATTTGTACAGCAGGTGAGGATGCCCCAGCAGAACTGATAAAGAACAAGAAGTGTCATTTTTTTTCATAGTTCTTAATGTGATATCATGATAGGACTATTTCTCTAGTTGGTCAGTATGCATGGTTTTCTTATATCTATTGTTGAATACTTATCATACAAAAGTAGAGTTGAAACTATCAATTATTTTATATACTAATAAAGGTACAATCTATAAAACATAAACTAAAGAAAACTTCAATTTAGGAGGGCTTGTCTGTGCCTATCACCTTACAAAAAAACCATTGTCAAGGGTGCGCACCAATTGTGGGGGTTCATCAAACGTGCCTTGCCCAAAATGGTCCAAGGCACTTTGGTTGTCTAGCACCCGATAAAGTTAAAATATTCCTTATAGGTTGGTTCTTTAACTGGAAGCCAAAGTTTTGCTGCTAATGAGATGACATGTAGTTACGTAGATCCAGTTTCCATCCACTACCAATAAAAGTTGTCCCAAAATAGCATCAATAATGACTTAGCAGATTGGCAAAATACCATAGAAAGATGAAATATATCATTTTTAATCATCATCGTCACTTCCATGGGGAAGCCATGATTAAGGGTGTGCAGAATACATACATAAACCTAGTGGCCTAGTTAAGATTTCGAAATGCAAAAGCTTGCTACTTTTTTTCGGGCATAGAAATGAAAGCGAGCTAAATTCAATGCTTTCAATTTTCCTTTTTCCTTATTTGGATTCAACCAAAAGTCCGCCAAAGCTCACATTTAGGTTCTCTAGACAAATCCCAAAGCTAACGACTTGTTTTTCACTTCGTAACAAACTCTCAACCATTTTCTCTCTCCAAAAATATTAACCCAATCTGTAATTCCCAATCTTCTTCTTACCCCGCTTTTCGTGCTGGTAAAAACAGCCAACAAACCTATCCCTAACCCTAATAATCACGTCGGAAAACATTAAATAAAAGTCTAACATTCACCAAAAAAAGGGAAACCCTAAGTTAAGAGAATTGAGATCGAAAAATCAAGTGAAGGGAGAGTAGCAAGAGTTTGTACCTGGCAGCAGGAGTGGGATCCATGGTCCCACCAGAGCTAATGACCTCTTCTCTCATTGCTGCACCAGCGCCTTGTCGCAGTACAACTTTCGAAACCAATACCAACCGAGTTGAACGAAGCTCGTCCGAATTTGAAACCCGAATGCTTTGTTTGACATTGTCAGCTCCATTTTATAGCGCGTGTATATACTTTCGAGGCCGTGAAAGTATTTGTTTTGTCTTTCAGTTGTGGAGATAGGCCGGGCATTTTCTAAGTATTTGGGCCTGCTCCTTCTTCGGCTTATTAATTTATAGGGTAAACTACACATTTAGTACTTTAACTATCATTTTTATTTTGTTTTGATCACTAATCTATTTTTTTAAATCATACCTAATGTTACATTTTGGTTTCATCTTGATCATCTATTATTAAAAAATTAATAGAACTACTAGTGTGAAATTTTTTATTTTTTCAATGATGATGTAACATTATTTTATGGTGTTACATCAGTATCACCCGTTAATTTTTCAACAATAGGTGACCAAAATGTAACCAAAACTAAACATTATGTATGCTTTTGGAAAAAAATATAGTTGAGTGACCAAAATGGAACAAATATGATAGTTGGGTACTAAATGTGTAGTTTACCCTTGTAATAGAGTAAATTATTGAAATGGTCATTTTTGTTTCATAATTGATCACTTTTAATCATCCAATTCTAAAAAATAACATTTTACTCATTTATATTATCGATTTATAACATTTTAATCACTAGAACATTAAAGGTTTTTAGTTTGATGATGTTCCACATTAGTAAATGAAAGGGTTAATTTCTTAACATAAATGTTTTTAATTTATTGATAAAAACTTTTGTCACTACTCTCTACATACATACATATAGACCTACATAAAAAAATTCGTGTAGCGAGCCATCACGGTAGTGGCTGAAGAAGATGAAGAAGTAAAACTAGCAGCAGCAGCCGCTGCAGGGATCGAAGTATCGGCGTAGCTGCCATCTCTATCGTCTTCACTAATGGTGTCCAACATCGTCCTCCTTCTTTGCCTCATCACGCTAACAAACTCCGGTGGTGCAACCTCCATGATGAACCTATGGATACGAGAATTCGTCATGTTCGTAAGAGATTTGTGGAAAAGGTAAACCCCGAGAAGGAAAGCCTGGTTTTTGGATATGCAGAAGCTAAAGCGCTAAGATAAGGATTATATAAGAGGTGGCTTGGCTTAAATTGAGACAGTGGTCTTTGTCTTGTCATTAATATGAAATTACCTACTAGTGCCGCCACTTACTTTTTGATATGAATTCCCAAAAGTTCTCTGATGTTTGATGTTGCAGAAACAAGATCCTGAGAGATAAGTACCCAGCTGGGACGTTTATAGATTTGCAGTTTGCTGGGATCATTAATAACTTTAAATTTGCACTTATATGATAATTTACTTTTTTGTTTTTTTTACATAAAATTTTTAATTTCTTCTGTTATCGTAGTCGACTAATTGTTGCCGTCTATCATCATCAACATTCGTGATAAGATTATTATCAAAATATTCATATATTCACTCTTCTTTCTTCTCATCGAATTTGTTTTCTATAAAATATACTCAAAATTAATAAAAAATCACCTAAAGATCCAACATTCTAAAACTCTAATCACATCCAATGGCCGTTTGATGAGGCTAATTTCAAGATATGTTGTTCGTACTCTCGAAATAATGTTCCTCGTCATTCGTATCATAAAATAAACATACCAAATCTCTTAAATCAGAGAAAATCATCAAATCCCTAAAATGATAGATTTTATGTATAATTTAGTGGGTTTTAAGAAAATTTAAATTGATAAAGTGGTAGAGGATGATGAGACGAGTTCTTCGATGTACAGGGTAACCACAAAAGATGCCCAGAAAATAACAATGTCTAACTACAGTTGAAAATGAATGAAAAACCCTAACTTTCATGAAGAAGAAGATGATATATATATATATATATATATATATATATATATATATATATATATATTACTTTCATTTCACACATCATTATCAAACTATCACATTATCCGAGTGTTAATAATTTAACGGCTCAATAATTAAGAAAAAACAACTAATGTTAAAAGTTTAATGCTAAAATTGAAGGATTTTAAAGTTTAATGATCAAATCGATACCTAAACTAAATTTGAATACGAGGAGGGGGAAAATGTGAACAGGATGAGCAGTTCGCCTGGTGATTTTCTTTGCCACAATTTTTCTCTTCTCCCGTTTCACTATACAATAAGAATAAGCCTCGACGAACCATGAAAACTTTGCAATTGTCAACTGGCTGTCTTTTTTTGTTATGACCCTTGCCCTTCTTACAAAAAAAGATGTGGTTTCTAGGTGGATTAATCTCTCTATGACTGCAACTTGTTCTAGTCTTAAAGAGTTTCGTATTTTTGTCTCTCGATGAACGGTTCGTCTTAATTTTTTTCCACGATTAACATTTGGGTTGTGATAAATATAAACAATTCACTTTTTTAATTTAGATGAAGAACCATGATCGATGATTTATTGTGGAATTGTAGGTGATCAATGTCGCTTAGTTTGTGAAAACTAAGGGAAAAACTCAAATAAACTATTTTTTTTTCAACTTTGACTTTGGGGTTTTATAATAACATTTAGTCGATTCTAGGTTCACGATTGCTATTTTTAGGTTGACATATTGAATAGATTTAATTGTCAAATAGCATATTTGACTCTAACAAATCATGTAGTTCTTCCAATGGTTATGTCAAGAGGTTATTAATAGTTTTTCGGAAGACGTAAAACTCTGGAGGCTTCGAGAAAGTTCCAGAGATGTGAATCTTCGAAAGATATAAAACTCTAAAGAAAGTGAAATTTCGAAAAACTTTGAAGAACTCTGAAAGTCTCAAGACTTACAATGAAGAAATGACGGTATTACCTTCGGAAGGAGATCCGAAAGAAGTATAATAATTTTCTATGCTATACGGTTACATCATATTTCTCATGGTTTGGGATTGACCCCTTGTTCAACCATACCTTTGATAGGGTTCAAGCTTATTCATGGTCACATCGAATTTGAGAGGATGATATATCCAGGGATATGCCCCAGCACATTCCTACACACGTAAAGCAACAAAACTTTGATCCGCGGCTTGTTTGAACAAAGCACCGCCGAAAGCAGTGCAGCCATCGGCCCATCCCTGTCTTATCTTCACCTGTGCCGTATCCGTGAGGGCAAATACCGAAAGCTAATCGCCTAATATACCCATTTCAGGTGTTTCCGAATACCAACTTTTGGGGTTTGATTCACCTTTCAATTTTTATCTGCACCAAAAAGGCAAAAAAGGGTTTGCAGACATACCTCCAAACTTTGCATTTAAGACAGCTAAACCCTATCTATTACATCATTAAACCCTAATCAGTCAAAACAAACCCTAAACCCTATATACTCCAATCACAAGAATTTGCTTCTGGTTTGCATCAAGTTTCAAGCAAATATAATGAATTCTGTACATGAAGATATCGTAGCCATTGAGGGTAAGGATGATCCAAAGAAGTAATATTAATAACAGTTACAAATTTCAACATTTCATCGTCAAACGACTCAAACCACACGACTCTATTTATGCACGATTGGTTAAGAACACTGTAGTAACGCGTATTCAAGACGTGTACCGTGTCTTCCAGGGCAACAAGGGAAACACCATGCCAAACATGTCTCAAACGAAAGATCCTGAAGAAATTGAATGATCGCCGCCCTCGAGAATTTGACAAAGACCTGTAATTCAATATTTAAAACGAAGAAACTGCATGCCTTAATTGTTAAATAAGCATTTAATTCAAAAAACAAGTAAAATCCAAATCTCCTCTCTCTCTTTTTGGTAACAAAATCTCTTCTTTTTTCAGTTGTACATCATGCCTTCGCAATACAACCCTTAATTAAGTTAGTTCCAATCCTTTTTCATTTCCATTAATAATGATAAACTGATTTGATTAAATAAGATATTGGATATAGTTACATTAGACTAAAGATGATTTGAAAGAGATAAACAAGAGTTTTGATATTCTATATAGTAAAAATGTGTTTAATCTCTCGAGATTTCACAAAGTTTTCTACTAACGTTATGTAGTTTATATTTTAAATATCAACTGTTAAAAAATTAACGATAATATTGACATATTTATTTTATTTTCCATGTCGCCTTCTTAATACAACCCTTAATTAGTTTAGTTCCCATTAGGGATGCACATGAGTCGGGTTGGGTCGGGTTTTTGGTCCACTCGACCCGATCCAAGAACAAGGAGTCTCCGAACCTGACTTGATATATAACTTAAAACCCGACCTGACCTGAAATAATAAAAAAATTATTTTTATTCAATAAAAACATTGACTTAATTGGAAAAAAAATATATAGAAGGGTATTATTGTAATTATTCCTTAATATAAGGTAAAATTATATATTTTTTTGGGTCGGGTCTGGTCGGATATTTTTCACCCTGAACCTGAATTTTTTTTTAAAACCCCTGACCCGATCAGGTCAGGTTCGGATCTCATGCTCCTCCCTAGTTCCAATCCCTCTTTTAAAAGAAAGAAAATGTGTTGTCAGAAATAGAAATCAAATCTACACAAGTATTATAATGTGGTCGAGGAGCATATTATTTAAATTTGATCAAAATAACTTAAATTGAACGGAAGAAATTAGAAAATTAAGGACCAATCATAAAACAATCAAATTATTTAACTAAAGACAAAAATAATCTAATTTTCATTTTCATTTTTTGATTTCAAACTTTAAAAATTCTAATTCGATTCAAATTTAAAAATTAAAAAAATAAATATAACTTTTTCGAATTCAATCAATTTTTTTCTTTCTTGATTGACATCAGATCTTACATATATATATATATATATATATATATATATATTTTGGAACAGGTAAAGTTTTTAAATGTCATTTAAGTAATTATCTGAAAACCAAGGGTCATATAACCATGTACAACTTCTATATAAATCAAGCATGGAATTCAACATTTACTGACATTCATTCAAATTTCCATAATTCCATTACAGAAGAAAGCCTTCTTTCCCCCCATGGCTGATATCTTCTCTGTCACCACTCTCCAAAACACGCTCTACAGTCCCATGGCTGCTGCCGACACCCCACCTCTCACTCCCTTCTCCGCCGTCGTGCCGGCCCGTTTCATCGCCGTGCGTCGGCTCAACATCCACATAACACTAGAAACCATCCATGAAGAAGAAAACGAAGAGGAAATCAACGTGGAGGAGCAGTCGTTACCCCAAGCTTCATCATCATCATCATCAGCTGCCATATTTTCTATAAACTTGTTTCTTAGAAGTGAAGAACCACTTACCGTAATGTAATCAATGTCCATGCTCGATGAGCATACCTCTGATGTATTCCATGGGTTTTTTTTTGTTGGAAACCAAGTGTTATTCAAGTAAATAAATGTACTGTAATTGATCTCTTTCTTGTTCTTGTAGGCTTCTGTTATCTATCAGTAATTACATTGTTCTGCATTAGTAAACGGAGATATCTAAGATACAACAGTTTTAATATACGGTTAAAGAAAGATATTATTAGAAATATTAATATTTTTGTAATATTTTTAATAAAACGTTACTTAAAATATTATTTTTTCTATCGAAAATATTAATATTGGATGCTACCTAAAATATTTAACATATTTACAATAAAGTGTTATCTAAAACATTATTTTTTTTACCATAATTATTAATATTAGATGTTACTTAAAATGTTATTTTTTATATAGCGAAATTGATATTTTTAATAAAAATAATAATATTTTAGGTAATATTTTAATAAAAATATTAAAAAATATATTAATTTTTTTTATATGAAACTACCCTTAGTAAATGCAAGAGAAAGCACCAAAATCTGCATCAGTAAAAAGACTGACTTTCTGGTTAGGTAAAATTGCAGTTAGACCAGTCAAAGGGCAGTGTCAGTTATGGACTCAACCCGAACCCGACGGTTTCGACCTGATCGGGTCGGATTTTTTTAAAAAAAGTTAAATTCGGGTTGGGTTTTTTTTGTACTGTTCGAGTCAGGTCGGGTTCGGGTTTAGGGTGAAAAAAATCGACCCAACCTGACCCAAAAAATATATATAATTTTATCCTATAT